CAGACCACCGCCATCTGGCTCACCTCGTTGTCCTTAAGCTGGATCTACCCTTTGTTTTATGTTCCAAAAGTTTGGTAACCCCTTTCGTATACGCTATCACAGAATGCTAGTTGTTTTGTGTTCAAGCAAAGCGACACTGTTTCTTGGTACTCTCTCATTGCTTTCGGTCTTCTCTCTCCAAATATCTTGCTAGATATATTTTTTTCTTAAGAGTCCTCTCTTGTTTCCTGAATAAAAATGTCAGGACCTACAACATTTGTATCTTTTTCTGGGACTCCTACTATAACAACAACAAAATTAAATGGAAAAAATTACTTGTCTTGGGCCTCCTCTGTTGAACTCTGGTTTCTAGGACAAGGGGGGTTCATGATCATCTAGAAGATGACAAAAGTACAAAACTAGAAAATTAGGCTCCTCGATAGAAGAAACTTGATTATCAACTTTGTGCTCTATTATGGCAATCAGTTGAACCAAATATTTTGAACACTCTCCGATCCTTTAAGACATGTAATTCCTTCTGGAAAAGGGCCCAAAATATCTTTGCTAATAATATTCAACGACTCTATGATTTTGCTAATAGATTAGCCTCCCTTAAGCAAGAGGATAATAATATGATGTCCTTTATTGCTGAAGCTCAATCAACAGTTAAAGAATTACAAATGTTCCTTGAGACAGATGCATTAGAGGAGAAAAAGACGAAGCTGGATAAATTCTATATGGTTATGATTCTTAGGGCTATGAATCCAGAATTTAATCATGTTAGAGATCAAATTTTAACTCGACAAGAAGTTCCTTCTATGGAGAGTTTGATCATAAAACTACTTCGTGTTCCATCTATCAAAGGTAAAAATAGTCAAGAACTTGCATAATCTTCTGTCATGATTTCTACTCGTGGAAGAGGTAGTCATGGCAATAGAGGATGTGGTGGTAGAGGACTTCCTTAGTGTACTCATTGCAAAACAATGGGTCATACTAAGAAAAATTGCTTTGCTCTGCATGGTTATTATAATAAGACAACCAATACTTCAAAATCTGAAGTTGTTAAGCTCAAGTTCTCTCATGAAGAGTATCAAGAATATTTAAGGATGAAATCAACTAGTCTGACTCAAGAATCTACAATTACAAATTCATCAACAGCTTATATTTCGCAATCTGTGGAAAGTCAAAATCTGTGGATTATTGACTCAGGTGCTTCTGACCACATGTGTCTGGTGATACCTCTTTATTCTGCTCTCTATCATTTCCTAAAACCTCTCATCTCATATCTTTAGCCAATGGATCTCAAGTAATCTCTAAAGGGATTGGTCAAGTATCCATATCTTCTTCTTTAAACTTACAAAATGTTCTTTGTGTTCCTTCTTTTCCATTTAGTCTTGTTTCCGTAAGCCAATTAACCAAATCATTGAATTGCTCAATAACCTTTAATGCCAATTATTTTGTTATACAGGAACGTGGTACGAGTCGGCTGAGTGGAGAAAGACATGAATCTGGAGGCTTATACTACCTTGAGACTAATTCATCTGTATCTTGTGTTGCATCCTTATCCCCAAAACTGTTACATGAGCAATTAGGGCATCCTTATTTGGAAAAACTAAAAAAAATGGTTCCTGAACTTCAGAACCTTCAAACTTTTGAATGTGAATCATGTCAACTAAGGAAACATACCAGGTCATCTTTTCCAAATCATTCTGAATCTAGATGTGATTCTGTTTTTAGTATTGTTCATTCAGATATCTGGGGACCTAGTCATGTTTCATCTTTTGGCTTTAGATATTTTGTTACTTTATTGATGGATTTTATAGATGTATTTGGGTTTATCTAATGAAATATCGCTCAGAATCATTGTCTATCTTTAAGTCTTTCCTTAATGAAATCAAAACTCAATTTGGAAAAGTAATCAAAGTTTTACAAAGTGATAATGCCAAAGAATACTTTTCTAATGATTTGTCTGACGTCCTATGTTCTCAAGGCATTTTCAACAATCTATTTGTCCTCATACACCACAACAAAATGGTATAGCAGAACGGAAAAATAGACATTTGGTTGAAATTGTTCTACCTTATTGCTTAGTGCCAATATGCCTATTCATCATTGGGGAGATACTATTCTAATTGCATGCTTTCTCATTAATAGAATGTCATCTTCTTCTCTTGACAATAAAGCTCCACATTGCTTTCGACCCAGTATTTCATGAGAGGACTAAGCATATTGAGATTGACTGTCACTTTGATCGGGAGAAGTTGTTGTCTAAAGAAATTTTTACTGAGTTTGTTGGTTCCAATGATCAGCTTGCAGACACATTAAAAAAATCTTTGAGAGGGTCTCGAATGAAATTCATTTGTTCCAAGCTTGGTATAAATAATTTGTATGCTCCAGCTTGAGGGGGAGTGTTGAGTATTTATTAGATTAGTTGTATCTAACTATTGACCTAGTTCCTAGAATGTATTTGTTTATCTTCTCTAGGTTTAATCATTTTCCCCTATTTATTGTATTTCAGAATATGTATCTTTATCTCCTCTAAATAAGAGAACATAAGAGAAAAGGATATGCTCTCAAAAACATCTTTTTATTTTCTTATTATCTATTTCAAGTATTTATTAGATGGTATAGGGCAATATCAACTATTATGAGAATGTATTTTAATTCATTGAATTTCACATAACAACATAACAAATAAAGATGCATTTAATCATTAAAATATATATATATATATATATATATATATATATATAATATTTATGATTTTTTAAAAATACATGAAAAATTTTCAAATTTTTGTAAACCCATTAAATTTTTTAAAATTTAAATTACAAAAAATGATCTTAAAATATTCTAAGAAAATCTTTAAAAAGGCATTATATGCTTACAAAATTTTCAAATAAGAACATTTATATGTAAAAATTGTCCATGAAAAAGGGGTAAAAATAAGTATCTAGAGATATCAAGAGAGACGCTGAAAAGAAAAATGTATATTCTAGTTTATACAATTGAACTATATAATCACTCTCTGAAATACTATAGAGACACAATATTTAAAACAGTAATTGAGGTTTGTTAGGCTAACCAACTTAACTGAAATAATCGTTGCGACATTATTATTGAATTATCATATAACACAACCCCCTAATTGAGTAATCAATTTAATATTCAAGCTTTCCCTTAATTCTACAAACCTTCAATTATTCAAAGGTTTCGGCATAATTTCTGCCAACTGTTTCTTCATGTCACAATGCTCACGCCTTAACTTCTTCTTCTTTACTTCATCTCTAATGAAATAAAATCTCAATCTGATATGTTTGTTTTTCCCATGATGAAATGGATTTTTTGCCAAATTGATAATTGACTTATTGTCAATCTTCAGTGTCATAGTCCTCTCTGATCTTCCAAGAATTCAATTCACTAAACTCTCGATCCATAATGCTTGACAAGTTGTGTAAGTATCAATCATGTACTCAGCTTCACAAGAAGAGAGTGCTACAACAAGTTGTAACTTTGAGTACCATGAAATCAATGACTTTCCAAATAGGAATACATAGTTTGATGTGTTTGTGAACCCAACTTTATCACCAACCCATTTAGAATCATAATATCCGATCAATTCTCCTTCACTATCATAAACAACATTTGGTAAGAGAATACCAAAATCAATTGTCTCTTTAATATACCGCAAAACTCTCTTGGTTGCTGCAAGATGAGAAACTTTGAGTTTCTCCATAAATTTGCTCAACAACCCAACACCAAAACAAATATCTGACCTACTACAACACAAGTATCTTAGGCAGTCAACCATCCATGTAAACAGTAACATTTATAGGTTTCCCATCTTCATCCTTGTCAAGCTTTAAATTTGTCTCAACTGGTGTAATCGCTGCATTACACTCATCCATTTTAAATTTCTTGAGGTCATCTTTGACATATTTACTTTGGTGAATCAGAATACATTCCCTACCTTTGATAAACTTTATTCCTAAAAAATATGATAACTTTCCTAGATCGGTCATCTCAAACTGATCTTTCATCCTTCTTTTAAAACTCTATCAAAGTAATTGTACTGATAGTAATCAACAGGTCATCAAAATATAGACAAACAATCAAAATATAATGAACTTCAATTTTTTAGTAAATCTCATACTCAATTCCACACTTCAAAAAACCTTATTGTCAAATACAACCATCGATTTTAGTGTTTTAAGCTCTCAGAGTCTGTTTGAGACCATACAATGCCTTATTTAATATGAGACCTTTTTGTTCTTCCCTAGTGATCACAAACCCTCGTGGTTGTGTAACATAAACTTCTTCCTCTAGGTTACCATTTAAAAATGCAGATTTTACATCCATTTGATGTATTTACCACCCTTTATAACTAGCGAGAGATACAACTGTTCTTATTGTCTCCATCTTGGCAACAGGTGAATACACTTATTTGTAGTCTAATTCTTCTCTCTATAGAAAGCCTTTCGCCACAAGTTTGCCTTTATATCTTGCAACTATTCCATCCAGTTTTAATTTCGTCTTATACATCCATTTTACTCCAATTGACCTTTGATTCTCTAGGAGATTAGTTAATTCAAATGCTTTATTCTTTTCGATTGTTAACAACTCCTCTTTCATGGCTCCGATCCACTTGGGATCCTCAATCGCTTCATCATCAGTTTCTCCAATCATCTATCCAGTTTCTGTGATAGTTTCATCAGTATTGATCACATAATCATTGAGTCTCGCTAGTGTTCTAATCAATCTTGTTGGTCGATTTCTCCTTTCTTCGATTCCTAAAATCGATTGATTTCTGCTTTCTTCGATTTTAGAAATTGACTACCTTCGATTTTAAAAAATTATCGATCTTTACCTTCAATTTCTGTATCACCTGATTCATAAAAGCTAACACTTCGATTTTCCTTGATTCTCATCATTCTTCTGGTGTTGTTTTGTCAACAATGTTTATTATGTGTTTGACTTCTCTTCCACTCTCTCATGTAACTGTTGTTTGTGAGTCTCTAAACCTGCGTATCTGTGTGCCAGCATATCCCACGTTCTTTCATCAAGTTTGCCATTGAAATCTTCTGAAAGTTGTTTTTATTAACACACTTATGAATGTAGAATATAGCTCCGCAATCACATTTCTTTTCCTCTCGAAATGTCACATGTTGTGTCCCAGTGGGGTTCTCCAATAGCCCCTTATATTCATTCAAAACTATGTCTAAGACTTATTGATAACCAAAAATGATTTTCATCTTTACACACCAACTATCGTACTCATTTAGGTTCTTGCTATCGAGTACTGACATGTTGTCATACAACCCAGTTTCTACTATCGTCATTCTTCTTCTTCTCGGATCTTGAAGCTCTTGATACTATTGTTAGCAAAAAACGGAGTAAAAAATAACTATCAAGAGATATCAAGAGAGAGGCACTAAAAAGAAAATTATATATTCTAGTTTATACAATCGCTCTCTGAATATGTAAAAACATAATATTTAAAATAGTAAATAAGATTTGTTAGATTAACAAATCTAATTAAAACAATCATTACAATATCATTATTAAATTATCATTTAACAAAAATATCTTTTAAAGTTTACTAAAGGCAAATAAAAAAAACAGATGAAGAAGGAATTGAACGAATCATATTATTTTTTTTATAAAAAAGTATTTAGACACCACTATTCACACAAACAACTCATCAACCACTCCATTTTATATTATAATAATAATTTTAACGTTTTTTTTTCATTAAACCTTTTACTGATTATTATATTAATAAAACCAGTAAATGATATCAAAACTCTTTTAGTATATAGAAGTTCTTTCTCAATTTCAAAATGATTGATGTTTTAATATTATATATATATATATATATATATATATATATATATATATATATATATATATATAAAATAAGGTCTGAAATAGAGAATAAATAATAATTCAATAAAATCGTTGCACTCATTAATAGTTTATCTCAAATACATGTAAAAACAAACTGGGAAAGCTGGGAAAAGAACCATGCAAACTATTTTGCATCCAGAAAAATAGGGTGAGGAGTGGATACGTTTAAGAGAGGAAACTCAGGTGGAATAGGCAACAAATGATTGTGAAAATCTGGCAACCTCAGGAGATTATTTCCATGCACTATATCCCAGTTACATTGTTTTAATACAACTAAATAATATATGAAGCAAGGACTATGTATAGATTAGAACAAAAAACCTCCGGGAATGCAAAGCAAGAGCGTTTATTCACCGCAACAAAGTCCTACACTTGCTTTTAGAATTGCTTGTTTAATTGGTAAATTTAAATGTGATACTTAAATTATAATAAGAGTTTTTTTTTATAGAGAAACAATTGATCGTACTAAAAATTGTAAATATAATTTAAATTTATCAACACATTCCACACTAAAACAGCACAACACTTTTGGGTTGGGGAGGGGAGGACTATTATTTAGTGCAAAAATATGTTTTGAATAATAAATAAAAAAACTGAACATTTGGAATCAATGAAATTTCCAGTAAAACCGCATCTAGACAATTTCACATGAAATTATACACAAACAAGGTATGTTCATAATTATAGCATATTTGGTTCAGCTTAAAAGAAACAAAAATATTTTTTTAAAAATCTTATTAAAAGGCTGAAAACTAAACTAAATTATATCAAACATGCACAGTCAATAACAGTACACTGCAAGAGTCTGCGGCCTATTGCTACAAAGCGCAAGTTCAAAAGCAGAATGACTGTAAGTTTTTCTTTCTCCTTCATATTCTTTATAAGCTACTTTTCTTTCAACTCCTAGTTAACCTAAACGGGTTGGTTTGCAAAAACAATTATACAGGAATGCCTATAATTTATACAGCAAAAATATAAGAATCAAAATATGCTTTGACGGTTTCCTACTCCCCTTTTTCCTCGGTAATCGATGAAAATTTGGAAACTAACGAAACTTCAATCCCCTCCATTGGTTGTATTAACCAATTGAACTCCTAAAAATCTATAGACAAGTCAAAAGTTGTATCATTAGAGCTACCACCAACCAGCGGACAAACAAAACTCAGCAAAACCCTTCGTCTAGTCAATTTCAATCATCGTCTGAATCTGCAAAAAAAATGAAAAAAAGAAAACTTTCAGCTAAAATAAAGAAGATATTTATCCAAGACGATGACAAGGATCTGTAGATGAAGGAAATTGAGTTCAAGAAAGATAATCAAACGGTAGTAAGAGTAATCATAGTCTGTTAACTTATCATGATTTAACTAAATCAAACCGTTGATTCAGAGTAGAATGATAATCATAACTAAGCCAGGGGGGTATAGCATAGGAATGTTCAGCAATTAGCACTTCAACTCTACTCTACCCATTGATCCATGCTCACAAACTATAATATCTAAAACAGCCAATAATATCTCGAGGTTATATGTTCGTCTGAAATCTGAACCACTTAATTCTGGGTAAAGAGGGTATTGGCATCGCTAAAGATACAGGAATTGCAAACATTCCACACAAAAGTAACATTTTGGAGGGTGCCCCACGAAAAAGGATAATATAATACAATTCAGTGAAAGATAATATCAAAAAATACAGTGGAACATATCCTAACTGTGGACTGGTTCCTGAACAAAAGAATAATAGAATACTAATAATACCCTCAATCTGTCCGATGAAATATGCTTACCAGATCTTATATCCTCGCCAACTTTCCCCCTATTTTCCAGCTGTCTATAGATCATTGCACATATGAGCTTCCACCAGTATATATGAAAGATGAGTAGCATTATGAGCATTGTATTAAAAATGTAGTAAAGAAACATGTCATAACCCTCTGACAGGTTTAGGCACTGCTGAAGATCAATGCTGGAAAGTGGAAACAGAAATAAGATTAATAAATAAGTTCCTTTTAAACAAAATCAAATGAATATGATAAAAATAAAAAGACAAACCTTGTTGCTTTAATAACCCAAAAAGGAAAGAAAATTAGCCGCAATATGAGCCACGAAACTGCAAAAAATCCAAAACACACACTTGCACCAAACTCCCTTCCAGAATACTTGAAAACCTTGGCAGCTTCCATGAATACATCACTTGCATCATGAAGGGCGAGGATTATAGAACCAATCCTAAAAAAACTGTAAATGCAGACAATATAAGTTATCTCTTCATATTTTTATCTAAGATATTAGTCAGTTTTGCAATTTAAATTATCTAAATTACTCAACCTGATATAGCAAAACTTGAAAAAGGTTGAAGTAAGAAGAAAAAAGCAGACATGAAAGAACATTCTAATCTATCATAGAAAAAGGAGATTTATGTCCAGCATTTCTCAATTCTATTAGAGTTTCCAAGCATTTACAAAGACTCAAATCAAAGGCATACACCTATTTAAGTATTGACATCAAACTGTTTTATTGCGTACATAGAGATGTTACGTATGTAATTATCTAATACATGCCACAGACCAAAACATTGCAAACTTTTTTATCAAGTTGTATTAATGCTCTAAAAGGTATATATAGGACTAGAAGTTTCGAGCTAAGTTTGGATTGATGGAAAGGAGTGTAATGGAGCCCAATGGAATGAAATCCATTCCACCCAATATCCAACTATTCGACCCTTTCAACTTGGGGAGTATGTGATAAAATCCATCTTTTTCATCTACCCACTTCATTTTGTTCCACCCGATTCCACTCCAGTCAACAGTGGATATCCAAACATAGCCTCTAGAAATAATGCAGGCTCTTTAATATCACTTATAATAAATTAATAATGGAAGATGTATCATATGCCATAAATTTAAGAATGCCTAGTGTGACAATAACCTAATTTTTTTTATACAGGAAAAAGTAAGCATGATTAAATGGTCTTCCATCTCCATCCAGTTGAATGAAAAAGAAATAAAAAAATAAAATCAAGGAACTACACTGGTTAAAGATAGAAAGTAGAAACATATTGATAAATCCCAGAAAATATTTACAGAGACTTCAAATTTATCGGTTTTAAGAACACCACATGCAGTTATGAGTATTATTTTGGGCAACAAAAAGCATTAACGTCGAAACTTTATGACAGATATAAAGTGTTAAAAATTCTCTAGAGCTCATTTAGTTGTGTTAAAAAATAATAATGAGCAACAAATGAGCCACCAAGTGATAATTTAAATGCTTATGTAAAATAATAATAAATAACTAAGTTCAAAATTTAAGATTTATCTAAACTAGGTATGGTATATTCTTCAAATACAAATAAGACTTGCTGGAAACCACCCAGATATACCTTGTCATATATGAGCACCCAATCAGTAAAACAGTAATTACATGGTGGGTAAACATCACCGCAAAATCCTTCCTTCTAGTCTCCCATGTGAGAATAGCAGCAATACTGTATATGTAGAACCCACACTGGCACATGTAGTACAACACTAGGGAACTCCTGAGATAAGACATGAAACAGGGTGCAATATAAATTTTAATATGCCAACTTCTATTTATCACAACTCATACAAGTACAATAGTCTTACAAACAACTTCCTAAAAGTTATAATTTCACCCCATTTAAATTATGTCTATACAACCAAATATCAAGTTGCACTGTACCAAAGAAATGGCAAGTTGTAACCAATGACATCAACCCAGAAGAAGCAAGGAAAAGGTTAATCATAGCCTGTGTAAAGTATAAACCATATAAATATATAGTGCATTGTCCATCAAAACTAAAATAAAAAGACAAAAATAAGGTCTCTTGTAGTTTACAAACCAAAAATGCCTAAGGACCAATTGTTAGTTTCTGAAAACTTGTTACTCAGTTTTAATGTGAACCTAGATTTGTAAATTATGAATGGAGTTCAGCATGAGAAAATTTAAGATGTAAAATATATAAAATTGAAAATTAATATAAGGGTTAATGAGGAGGTTTTCCTGATAAACACAAATATCAGGTCAACAAGATAAATGCAGGCCACCAAATGTCGGAAAAACATTTGTTACTGACTAGACTGATTTTGTTCATAATGCTACACAAAATACTTACTTTAACTCATGATTTGGCCAGTCATTGAAGTATAATTTCGTATTACTGAACCAGGGTTCCTGGTAGGTAATTTTAAGAATGAATGCTTCAACAGTAGCATAATATGTTAGCTTCCACATTGACTCTGAGCATTTCCCAATCTTTACTTGCATTTCCTTAGTAGTAATATGTGAAGGAGATCTACCCTTTGTCAAGATCCTAATGGACAACCTCTGTAGACAACACAGTATTTAAGAATATAAGGAAAGGAAAAGGTAAATGTATTTAATATCTTGAAAAAGATAAAAGACACTAAATACTTTTTTCATTTAGTAAGTAAGAGGATTAGTAAGAATATAGTATATGAGGATTAAGAATAAATGCTTTTTCCATAGGACACTAAAATGATCCACACACACTTCATGGAAAAAGTAAGAATTTATAAAAATATCATGCTTAGGCATTAAAAATCTCCAATCATCCTTGCTGATGTGCTTTGGTAGAAAATACCTATCATCTCATAAAGCCAGACTAAGATTGCCCCACATTATCGTACTTTCTTCTCAAGACAACAGGTGAAAGAAATCAAAGTGATATTTGGCAAAGAGATTTCTCTTTCAGAAACTGTAAAATATCATGATTTGCAGAATTGGGATACAAGAGCAGCAACAATGACCACGCCATTTCCTACATGTTTTGAGAACGGGATAATCTTCTAAAACCCTTTACCAACAACAGTGTTCTTTTTTTTTTTTTTTTTTGCTTCCTAATTTCATCAATAAGATTAGAACGTAATGTGTACCAACAAACCAAATGCATGGTGGTTGTTCCTATAGGGAACAGAAGATAACACAAAATCAACTGTATAATAATCATTCATGAGCAGCATGAAAGAAATATAATGCACACACGACACACTCCATCCATGAACTGGCAATACAGAAAGCCCTCCATGCACATCCGTGTCACAACACAATAGGATTTATAGATCATGTGTTTTTGCAATATGAGCTTAGAATAACCCTTAAATGACATTAATAAGATGGTTAAAAGAATACCAATAGACAGATTTAACTCAACATAAATGAACAGCACTCCATTTAAACATTTTCCATAAGAGGCACATTGATGCCTTAACTTTCATTTGCGCAATTAACACCAAATGGCAGGTTAACTGAAAGATCACTCCACCAAATTGAACAAATTCCAGGAAACAAACACAGATAAAATGCAACCAAAAACAGTAAAAAATATGTCCATCAACTCAAAGAGAATTTGTGATGAATTACTAACAAAACCGACAGGTTCTTCCGTTTCTGGCAAGGAACCCTAAAGAGGAGAATCAATAAAACAAGCACAATCCAAAACTAAGCCGTTTGTTCTCTTTTATTCGATCAAATCTCAAACAAAACAGAAACAAGCAATCTACACGAATCCAATTCGTCAGCGAAAGAAAAATTCGCAATGCAAACAGAGGATCTTACGCGAAAGACGAATCTGTCAAGGAAGAACCTGGCCACGAAACTGGCGAAGGCGAAGTAGATCGCGGCGGAGAAGTGAGAGGCGTGCGGCACCACATTCTCGGTCCAGAGCAAATCCATGGCAGATTGCAAGAGCTGCAGTTTGAGAAGAAACCGTAGAGAGAATGAGTAGCAAGAACAGCACAGACAGGGATCATGCACAGCATTGAAGGAAACGCAGGAACTTTCATGCATTGGAGCGAGAGCCACGATGTGATCGGGTTCTTACCAGATTTGGAGGATGGCTTCGCTGGCGGCTTCGAGAGTCGTGAAAGCGGAAATGCGCGCAGAGGAAGAAGCCAACGAAACGACGGAGGGAAAGTGTGTGCGAAAGAGGGATGGAGGGAGGAAGAGAGGTTGAAACAGAAAAACGCAAATGAAAAAATTGAAACGATCAAAGGGTTTGTTTTTGTTGTTTTCTTTTCTTTATTTAATCTTCTTCCCCACTTTATTTATTCATTTATTACTTATAATTTATTATTTGTTATAACTCCTGTTCCTCGTAAATCTCTTCTTTTATCTAATTTAGTTAATTTAATTAAATCTATTTTCATTTTGGGAGGGCCCACCTGTGGACCTGTAATAAGCCCACGTGGCGATGTATTGTTCGTCATGCGATTTTTTTGCTTCCAATTGTCTTCTCTCCCACGTTAATATGAATCTGGTTCTACTTGCTTATTCCTTTCTAGTTTCAATATTCTATTCTTTTAGAATTTTCATTTCTCTAACCATTTTTTTACTTTAGATTTAACCACTTTAATCTTATGTAAGAGTGGAGCAAAACAATATTTTAGTTCTAGTTATGGCAATAAAAGCTGACACGTTGGTAAAGTTGTATAAAATTGTTAATATATTAATTAATCTTCAAATAAATTGTAGTTATTAATAATTTAATTAAAAAATTACACTCTGTACAAATTCTTGCCAATTCAATTCGATTATCCTTACAACTTATAATAATTAATTAAAAGGTTTCATTTGATTATATTATGCATGCATGACAATTTATTTCAATGAAAATGTCTAGTTGATATTTAAGAATAAAATAACAATATATTATTATATTATTATTTTATTATTTTGAGTTGAGAATCCTTTACATATTATATAATCAGTTATTGGTTAATCATTATTCTTAATTCAATTAAAGTATCTATTTCAACTTTCAATAATATTTACATGATGAAATTAAAGAAAGAATACTTGTAATAGTATGACATTAACTTAGTTTTATTGCAACTAAGTTGAAATTAAAGAAAGAATACTTGTAATAGTATGAAACTAACTTAGTTTTCTTAATAGTAAAACCCTTTACAGTTTTCAAGGTTCGGAATAAAATGAAATGTGAAAAACACTAGAACAAAACACTCGCATCGAATTTTTTTATTTTTATTTTTTTACTTGCGCTTTATTTGTAATGCCAAGGGAGGTTAAATTGTGATGTACCATTTTCATTTTTTAAATTAAATTTTCACGAAAAGTGTTTTTCATCACGATTATATTTTTTTATCATCTCATGTGTTTCTAAAATGATTTACAAATAAATAAAAGCTTTAAAACCATATAATCCTTCTTTATGGATTTTCCAATGTATTTACAAATATACACTTGTGATGAAGAAGGATTGGAATAATAGAATAAATAGAACTTTGTGAGATAATGAAGTCAAACAATAAATTGGAAGAAATTGTCAAAAAATAGTTTATTTTTTAGAATGACGTATTTATGAAAAGACAAAAATGATTACGATTAGACTATTAATTTATCTTAAATTTGTTGGTAATTTTAGTTTTTGAGTTTGCATAATTCACCAACTTAACTAACGAATGATGGGTAACACGATTAGACTATTAATTTATATAACAAAATAAAAATAAAAATATTCTAATTTTAAATATTATATTTTTTTATTTTTAAAATATAAAAAATATTATAATATTATAATTTGAATTATTAATACTAATTAATTAAACTTAAATTAATAATTATAATAAAGTATTTTAATATATAAATATAATGATTTTACTAATATATCTAATAAAAAATATTAATTAATAAGTAAAAACTCAAAAATTCTTATAATTAAGGATGTAATTTTAAAAAATATAAAAAAAATATTTTTCATGGTATGTTGAATCAAGTTAGGAAAATTTTCTTTAGTTTCAAACCAACATAAAGGTGTTTTATATTTTTTTCCCATTCAATGTCTCATAAGGTGTCATACCTATATTAGAATGAAAATTGTTGTTGTAAGTGAAATCAGTGGTAAGTATCGATCTCAACTACCAAAATTCTCTAGCACACATGCTCTAAAAAAGTCTTCTAAGGACTAGATAGTCCTTTTTTACTGTCCATCAGTTTGGAATGATAAGTTGATATCAGATGAAGTTTAGTCCATAAGGCTTGATGTAAACTTTCTAAAATTTAGAATAAACTTAAGATCTCTGTCAGAAATAATACTAGAAGGAACTCCATATAACCTCATAATTTCTCTTATATACAAAACTCAATTTTTCCAATAAATACCTAATGTTAATGGGTAAGAAGTGAACAGACTTTGTCAACCTATCTACGATAACCCATATAAAATCAAAATTTTGAATTGTTTGTGGTAAGTCAACTACAAAATCCCTTTTATATTATCTCATTTCCACTCAAGTATATCTAAGGATTGTAGCATTCTTATTGGCTTATGGTGTTCTATTTTAGCTTTCTGACAAACTAAGCAGCATGTTGCTACATATTGTGCTACTTCCTTCTTCATTTTAGGTCACCAAAACATTTTTTTAATATCTTGATGCATTTTTGTTGCGTTTGGATATATGTTCAATTTGCTCTTATGTGCTTATTTTAAAATCAACTTCTTAATGCATACATTATTAGGCACACATATCCTATCATTAAATTTCAAAATTTCTGCCCTATCTATGCCAAAATTTTCTCTATTCTTTTATCTTTTCAACTTTTTTTCTTTTGAATAAATTCATCATTTACTTGAGTCTCATGCATTTTAATCTAAATTGAATTTAATTTCATTCTAGCAAGAATCACGGTAATTGACAAATTTATGTCTCTGAATTTTTCAAGCAAACTCATCTCATGAATCATCGGTGAAGAGACATGTAAGGAATTTTTCTTAAAGCGAGTTACCACTACATTTGTCTTTCTTGGATGGTAATGTAATTCAAAATCATAATCTTTCAAAAAATTTATTTATCTTCTTTGTCTCATATTTAATTCTTTTTTATCAAATAAATATTTAAGATTCTTATGATCACTAAAAACCTCAAACTTAGCATCATATACATAATATATCTATATTTTAAGTGCAAAAACAATGACGACTAGTTATAAATCATGATGAGTTAGATAATTTTTCTCATGTATTCTTAATTGTCTAAAAGCATATGTGACTATCCTTCTATCTTGCATAAGAACACATCCTAATCTTACTTTGGAAGCATCATAAAATATCACAAAGTGTCCAATAGGATTAGGTAATGCTAATACAGGGGAAGTGATTAACAGTTTCTTAAGCTCTTGAAAACTATTTTCGCATTTTTCAGTCCATTCAAAAACTTGACCTTTTTTTGGTGACTTGGATTAAAGCCATAACTATTTTATAAAATTATTCAATCAATATCCTATAATACTCTATCAACCTCAGAGAAATACAAATTTAAGTCACTGTTTTTTATGGATTCCATTATAGAACTGCTTCTACTTTGGTTGGATCTATTGACACTTCTTCTTTGGAAATCACGTGGCCCAAAAAATTCACTTCTTTTAACCAAAATTCACACGAAGACAATTTAGCATACAATTATTTTTCTTTCAAAATTTGAAGAACATTTCAAAGGTATTCTTCATGTTCTTCAAAAGTCTTCGAATAAATAAGAATATTATGAATAAAGACCACTACAAATTAATCCAAAAATGAATGAAAAATCTTATTCATATAATCAATGAATACTGCAGGAGCATTGGTCACACTACTTGATATTCATAATGACCAGACCTAGTTCTAAATGTAGTTTTCTTGATCTTTTGCCTTTACTTTAATTTAATGATATCCTGACCTTAAATCTATTTTTGAAAACACATAAGCTCTTATTAATTGATCGATCAAATCTTCTACTTTAGGAAGAAAATATTTATTCACTACAAGAAAATCATTAATTACCGATGGATATTTATCAAAGGATATGTAGCAGTCGGAAAATGAGTGATTACACGACGAAATTACCAACGGATTTAAAGTAGTTGTGAAATTTGGTCTTACCGACCGGATATATCCGTCGATAAATGAACAATTATCCGATCGGTAAATTAACAATTTTGGTAAATGAACAATTAGTTATCGACGGATATATCCATCGATAAATTAATAATTAGTTACTAATGGATTTAAAGTATATTTTTTAAAATCAACATTAAATTAAAAAAATTAAATATTTAAAACTATATAATAATTACTTAATTTTAAATATATTCTAATAAATTAATTATTCACCTAATTAAAAATTAAATACTTTTTTATTTAATAATTTAATTTAATCATAATTAGATTAATTTATAATAATTTGTTAAATTAAATAATTTTAAAAATAAATATTTAAGTATTTTTAATATTAAAAAAATTATTTTAATATAAGAATTTTAATTGAATAATAGAAGAAGAAAAAAGCTAAAAAGAACAAATTAAAATAAAATAAAATAAATAAATAAAAATTATTTTATATCATTGTATAAATAAATTATAAAGATTATATTCTATAATTAAATTAGAAACCCATGTAAAGGGAATCGCTTACAAATTTGGCATCAAATTTTGAAAACTCACTCGACACACATTTTCACCCTCAAACGCACCCTCACATCCAACATATAATTATATAACTATATAACTATATAAATATATAAATATATTTGTATTTATATATTTTATATTTATATATTTACACAGATATACATTTATTTGTATATAAATATAATTTATTTGTAAATTATTATCGAGAAAATCCTAGTAGTCTAGTGGTTGGAGTATCAATCTTTAACTCTAAGACACTTGGGTTCGATACATATAATATAAATATAATTTTCTTAATCGAATAATAATTCAAAAATATAATATAAAGGGGAGAAGGATATTTAGATAAATAGAGGGTATTATAGAAATTGGTCAAATTCCCAACATTAAATCTATTGAAAAATCAATATCTTTGTTGGATGGCAAACCAAGAATATCTTTAGGAAAAACTTAAGAGAAATTTTGAATAATTTTTCTCTATTTTTCAAATTGACTTCCTCGTGTACCTCCACGAGAAGATAATGATAAATATCCTTAAACTTTATTCTTTAAAGTCTCACTTACTGAGTTAGTAGAAGAATTCAAAAAGAACCTTGGAATTTGAAAATATTACTAATTTTATAAAAAATTCAAAAGAACTTGATTGGAAGATAACTAGTCTACACCTAAGATTACATCTAATTAAGATAAAGGTAGACAAATTAGTTTTTTAAGGAATTTCCTATTTTCAATTAACAAAGGACAATATAGACAAACTTTATTAGTAATTACAGACTTATTTGTGAGAGTTGAAATAATCAAACTAGTGTTAGAAAAGAAGTTGACAATTCAAGGTGTTGAACACAATTATTGGAAATAAATGACTGAGTTGCGTCCGAATCATATAATACATTCAAAGTTTTACCTTTAATGAAACACACAC